AAGGGAAAGGAAAGATGCACTATTTTCTTCCATGACACTTCGTGGAAACAAAGGGAGCGCAAGCGTGGGCTTGGGGGTGGACAGCTGCTGCCGGAGAGCAGTTGGCATTAGCCAGATCCTTATTTATGAATCAGCCCTGGACGTGATGCCGCCCACGAGTTAACATGTTCAAGCACACGCTGAGGATCATTTAATGGAACAGATAAATGCTTACCAAGTTGAAGTTTGAAAACCCAAGAGATTGAGATTAGGATATAAGAAGTGGTGAGTGACTCAGATGACTGAAATGGGCAGAGCATAAAGTATCTTCATGCACAGGAAGAGAAATACTACAATAACCTGCGAGAACTAAATAACACCCTGACATTCCTGGCTCTGAGAGAAAAGTGAGTCATGGAAGGTTCCAGAAACGACCATTTCCTCCCTGGTGGGCTCTCCCAGAACTTTTTTGTTGATTGCTCTCACTTTGTGGGGCACAGACTGGGTCCATGAAACACTGATCCTGTAAAGGTCATTTTCTTCTCTGGAAGGTCAATCTTACGCGCAGGGTGTGGACTTTATAAACTTTCATTCAAATCACAACTTTTAAAAGAGAGAGAGAGAGAGAGAGAAAACAGGGTGTGGAACACTTTGCTAAATCTTCAATTCCCAGCTTTCTGGGTTGAACTCAAAGCTGCAGATCTTCTAAGCTCACCAAGGTCTTTGGGTTTTCAAAGGAGCTGATTTCGGGCTGTCATCCATCAGTGCATGATCAAGCTTAATTGCAACAAAACAAAGAGGGAGGTTTTTACATCAATACTCTTTTTCATCTGAGGACAAATTGAAAACAAGACATATAGCAGCCAGGAAGTTAAGATTTTAAAAAAATTGCATAAACTCAGAGTGAGGAGAGGTTTTGGCTTGCTGCTTAATTTCCTTTTCCTGATTTCTTTTTGGATGGCACAATCCTCGCTGAATATGTACAGGCAAACTGGAGATATTACAGACCAGAAAGTTAAAGCAAGTATCACAATAAAGTGAATCACATGAAGTATTTTGGTTTCTCTCTACATATAATGTGTATACTATTTCGTTGTATTAGGTGCCATCCTGTAGACTTTGATTTCATGGTGTTCTTATGAATAACAGACACAATTCTTGCCCTGCCATGGTCCATCCTCCCACCTCCTCCATGCTCAAGCCCATTGTTGTGGTCATTATGTCAGTTAACCTCTTTTTGAATCTCCCTCACTTTTGCTCACCTTCTACTTTTCCAAACAGGAAGTTTTTGCAAAGGACTAACACTTTCTGAAAACATGCTCAAAGTAGATGCTTCTAAGGAGCTTTCGCTTTAGAACTTTTTTTCAGTTCCTTCGAGAAATACTTGTCTGTTTTTGTGGA